TTCCTTTTCTGTCTTGCCTATAAGGCAAGCACTTTACTGACTGAACCTCTCAGTCTCTCCTCTGGTGGCATCTTAATGCAAAAAGAGTCCATTCCTGAGCCACTAAGCCATTCACCAAACCAGGAAGAGAGCTCTGCTGTTGCCACATGTGTATAAATTACAAATGCCTAGTCATTTCTGATGGCCTGCATTTGCATGTTATGTGGATTTTGTTTTAGCAACCTCACTGCTAAATGTACAACAGTCTTATTTTTTTGTACTCCAGGCATAACTATATAGAAATATAATGTATCATACTACAGTAAATGTAAATAGCCTTGTTGATAACACAAGAAAATTACTTGAGCTGTATTGGCTTAGAATTCAGAATCATCAGAAAATGGAAAAATCTCCCATACCTATAGATCAGTAGGATTAACATAGTAAAAGTGGTCATCCTACACAAACCAATCTATAGATTCAGTTCCATCCCCATCAAAAGTCCAACACAATTCTTTGCAGACCTTGAAAGGATAATTCTCAACTTCATATAAGAAGATAACACACCGAGGATAGCTAAAACATTCCTGAAAAATAGACAAACAGCAGAGGTATCACTATCCCTGATCTCAAGCTCTACTACAAAGCTACAGTAATAAAAACCACAAAGTAGCCAGGCGGTGGTGGTGCACACCTTTGATCCCAGCACTTGGGAGGCAGAGGCAGGCGGATCTCTGAGTTCGAGAGTTTGAGGCTAGCCTGGTCTACAGAGTGAGTTCCAGGACAGCCAGGGCTACACAGAGAAACCCTGTCTCGAAAAACCAACCCCCCCCAAAAAAAAACCCACAAAGTATTCACATAAATAAACATGTTGATCAAGGGAATCAAACCAAAGAAGACCCAGACATAAATCTACACACCTATGAGCACCTGATTTCTGATAAAGAAACCAGCAACACACATTGGGGGAAAAAAGAAAACACTTTTAACAAATGGTGTTGGTCAAACAGGATGTCTGAACGTAGAAGAATGCAGATATACCCATATTTATGACCCCATACAAAACTCAAGTCCAAGTAAATTAAAGACCTCAACATAAAACCAGATACACAAAATCTGATAGAAAAGAAATTGGAGAATAGCTTTGAATGCATTGGCATAAGAGACAACTATCTGAACAGAACACTGATCACTCAATCACTAAGATAAACAGTGAGACCTTATGAAACTGCAAAGCTTTTATAAAGCAAAAGACGACATTATTATGACAGAGGCAGCTTGCTGAGTAGGGAAAGATTTTTACCAACTCCACATCTGATAGGTGTCTAGTATCCAAAATAAAGAACTCAAGAAACTAATCATCAACAAACCAAATAATTCAATTAAAAACTATAGTGCAGATCTAAACAGAGAATTCTCAGCAGAGGAAGCTCAAATGGCTGAGAAACACTTAAAGAATTATTCAACATTCTCAGCCATCAAGGAAATAAAAGTCAAAACAACTCTGAGATTTCCTTGTACACTGTCAAAAATAGATAAGATCAATAACGTGACAGCTCATGCTGACAAGAATGTGGATCAAGGGGAACATTTCTTCATTACTGGTGGAAATGCAAACTTGTATAGCATTATGGAATTTTCCTCAGAAAATTGGGAATTGATCCACCTCAAGACCTAGCCATACCACTCTTGGGCATAAACCTAAAGTACATTCTACCCTATCACAAGAACACTTGCTCAAATATTGTGATTTTATTCATAATAACCAAAAACTGGAAACAACTTAGATGCTTCTCAACTGAAGGGTAAATAAAGAAAATGTAGTGCATTTACAAAATGGAGTATTACTCAGCTGTTAAAAAATATCATGAAATTTGCATGCAAATGGATGCACTAGAAAAAAAAAACATCGTGAATGAGGTAACCCAGACCCTGAAAAACAAATATGGTATGTGTTCACTTATAAACGGATATTAGGAGTTAAGTAAGTGATATTCTATAATCCAGAGATGTTAGATAAAGAGGACAGATCTAGTGAGGAATTGGAGGGTGCATGGATCTCCCTGGGAAGGGGAAATAAAATAGGTTTTGCAGATGGGCAGGTGATGAGTTAGAACAGGAGTTAGAGGGATCTGATGGGAAAAAGGGTAGAGAGAGAGTGTGTGTGAAGAAACAATTAAAATTGAGAGCATTCAGGAGGCCATGTGGAAACCTAGTGCAGTAGAAAATTTCTAGAATCCATGAGGGTGACCCTAGTGAGGACTCCTGGTAATGGAGGATATGGAGTCTGAACTGGCCATCTTTTTGTAGCCAGGCTAGTCTTCCAGTGTTGGGGCTAGCTTGTATTTGGTTGAGTTGTTGATAGAGGTGGTCCCATAAAGATTCCTAAACTACTCAGCCTGATGCCAGAATGAGGGTCACTACATAAACTGACAGTGGGGAGCCATTGTCAAGGACAACATCCACAAAACTCATTGAATATAGAGAGGCAGAGCTAGTACCTGCATGGAGCCTTCATCCCTACACTGTAGTCTGTTTGGTGCAAGAAGCTAGGTACTCTGCAGGTTATGAAAAGAGAAACAGATACCAACCCAGGCACAAAACTCTCGACCTAAAATGTATCCTGCCTGCAAGATGTGCTGGGGCAATGGTGGCACAAATCTTTTGAGGTAGCCAACCAATGTTTGATTTAACTTGAGACCTGGGCGGTGATAGGAAGCCCATGCTCAGCACTGCCCTGATGGCCAGGGAGAGAAGATTTGATAGCCTAAAGACCTAGGATAGAACCAAACACTACTGGCCAAAAACAAAACAAACAAAAAAGTCGATGAAATGATTCCTTATTCCGCTTTATTCATACATCAGTGTCTTGTCCAGTTGTCATTCGTAAGGTTTCCTCCAACAGCAGATGGGAGCAGGTGCAGAGACCCTCAGCCAGACATTATTCTAATAGAGACTTAATTGGAGGTTTCCATTTGGGTCCCTCCCCCTGGAGCTCAAGGTGACCCCAGAGAAGAAGAGAAAGAATGATTATAGAAGTCAGGGGATAGAGACACCTGGAGAACACAGTTCACTGAATCAACTAATATGAGCTCAGAGCACTCATATTAGCACAGAGCTCATATGAGCACAGAGACTGTAGCGCAATCATGGGACCTGCAAAGGTCTACAACAAGTCCTCTATGTAGTTGTTATGGCTGTTAACTTGGTGCTTTATGGGACTCCTAACAGTGGGAGCAGGTTTGTCTTTGACTCCTTCGCCTGCTCTTGGGACTCTTTTCCTCCTATTCAGTCACCTTGACCAGCCTAGATATGAGGGCTTTTGCCTTGTCTTACTTTATCTTGTTTTGCCATGTTTGTTTATTGTCTCTTGGAGGCATGTTCTATTTTAAATGGATATGGAGGGTAGTGGATCTAGGAGAGAGAGGAATTAGAGGGGAGTTGGGAGGAGTGGACTGAGGGGAAACTGTGGTCAGGATGTATTATATGAGGGAAAAATTTACTTTCAATAAAAACAAAAATTAAACTATTAGCACTTAGGAAAAAATTAATATATACTAAGAAAAATGTTATTTTTAAAGTAAAAAGAAAAGGAGGCAACACCAAATTCAGTTGCACCTGGTCGTCATTACATCTGTCACAGAATTACCAGAGCAACCTCTACCCTTCAGGCTCCTAGTTTCTTTCTCATAACTGACCCCAGTTTGCTTTCCTCATATTAAATTAGAAAAATTGAAGTCTAAGCAAAACTAATTTTTCATAATGTCCCAGTCCATTTGCTCAGAGTCTCTAAAACCCACTTTCTCTCTAGGCATCCAGGCAGCTAATTATTCTTCCTCCCAGCAACTTCCAAGGCAATTCTGGTCCTATGCTTGAAACAGAAACTGATTGCATTTGATGAGGAAGAGAAAGAGTTCCCACAGCTTTCCTGAGATAACAGGAAAACATCTATCTATGCAAAAGAACTGTGCAATTCAGTCTCTGCAAATTCCCCCAGATCCTGAAGTAACGTGTACTGGAGCACATGGTCATTATATGTGCCTATTTAATTCCCAAGTTTCTCATTTAGGAATCAACTCAAATGCATTGCAGATATGCAAATTCAATTATTTTTGAACTGCAAAATAATTATAATGCCTTAGAGATGTACTAGCATACCCACATGGAGCAGACGTCTCCTCCCCTACGTGCCTTCCCACTTGTTGAACTAATA